CAGGCCCACAGCTGAGCTCATTTTACTGTCCTGTCACATCTGGTGAGGCCCTTGTGTCTGGACTTCAGGTAAGATGGGGACAGCAGTGTGACATCAGGCCTGGCTGGCGAAGACCCCGGCACTGCCTGAAGAGGACACAGGTGGCGGGGAAGGTGCAGATCACAGTGGAGGGGCCTGGCTTCTGGGCTCAGCTGTGAGTCAGGAACAGACTTATATTCGAAGAAGCCACTGAGGCTTGGAGGTGGTTCTATTAGAATCTGACACCTTAGGGATCAGCAGCCAAACTTGCCAGGAAAACCCTTTAACTTTTGGTGGTGATAATTAAACATTCACTAGACTGGAAAAGGGGCTTCTTGGAAGATCTTCATGTCAAGTAAATAAAAGTTTGTAGGCAGCAAATGGATGCTGGTCAGGGACAGGGTAGTAGCTTGATGAAGTTGCCCACCGTTCACAGTAAAGGTGCAGGTGTGTTACCACGAGCTTCACTCACCCCCCTATAGTCACTCACTGCCCTGCAGTCTCTCGCTGATGCTGAAACCTCAAGACCTGCCTGATTGAAGACACGACTGCTGAACTGTTCGGAGCAGAAAACCTACAAGTCCTACATTTCCCTGTGTTTTTGGAAAGCTGAACAGTTTGAATCATTTTGCCTCCCACTTGGAAAGGAGTCCAAAGATTATAAATCCTCCTGACGTGAGTTTTAAAGCGACTAATGTGTCCTCTCTGAGCTGGTGTGGCTCTGAACACCGGCAGGAAGTTTGCAATATGCCAGCGGCAGCCTGTAAGCGGCTGACCACTGGATGTTGTTCGGAGCTGGGGACACTGTCCGCTTCTGGCCTCATGTCTCCTGTCGGCTCGGTTGCTGTATTTCCTCGGCTGCGAGACGGTCGCACGTGCTTGTGTGAGCTTTGTGCCCCTTTGCTTCTGCTGTTAGCTGCGGGGCTTTCTGTCTCGTTCCCAGCCCCGAGAAGTAAAGAGAGGCTGGGGAACCGCCGTCACGAACGGTTCTCAGAAGGTGTTCTTACGGTACCCGCAGCAGCCTGAATCCGTGTGGCTCTTCTGAATTCAAGTGCTCCTGGGCTTCAATGGGAAGTTTTTTTTAAAGTTGCGATGATTTCCTCTTACCTGCTTTCTAATTTTCAGAACCCATATGTCACATCTCACATTGTAATATTTAGTTTGTAATTACTTCCCCAACCCCAGTCAAACACAGACACACAGACACTCACACATGCACACACACACACACATGTGCGCGCACACACACAGACACACACAAGGAGGTGAGAGCTGTTTAGGGTGATAAGAGTTTGGGGGAGGCCGTTTTTCCTCATTTCTTTTCCTGAACTTACTGATCTTGAAGACTGTTCACCTGTGAACAACATGTTCTAATATTGTCTTTTTTAAAAAATTTAGTCTCCAACAATTGTCATCTTTTTTTAAAAGTATAATTAGTAAAAGTAAGAACGTGGATTTTCAACAGTATGGTGTTTTAATTTAATCTCTGAGTATCTCAAGATAACTGAGTTGCCATAGTAACCTGTTAGATGTGCAAATGCAAGAAAACTTAAAACAAGAAATGTTTTAATCGTGTCTGTTCCTAATTGGTACTCATTCATCTCCACTATTTCCATTTGATGTTTTTATAACACTTTAATGGATTAGATATTTATCAGCAGTTAGAAGTTGCTTTATAGAGAGTTAAACTATTACAACTTTATAATTTTCATCTTAAAAATATGAAATATATCTGCAGTACTTTGAATAGTTGTACTTACCTGCTATCTTTGGCATTTTCAGAGCAGAAAACCAAGATTTGCTCCTCTCCTTCCACACACTGAGCATGGGGTCCCACCTGGCACGCACCATATTTTGTGGAAAGTAGTGCTAACATTGCTCATTTTGTGCTAACACTTTGTCTTTATGTATCATTACTACATTATACAGTGCCTACTGCATGGTAGGTATCCGCGACTTGTTTCTTTGCTTGTTCTTTTTATAACTCTTGAACCTTATGTCTCAGGAGGTTGGACTCGGTACAAGCCAGGCACTTTGTCAAGATATACAAATGACCTGGGGCACATGGAGCCTTCAAGGAAATCTCCAAATGCATGAACGAAGCTCCTTCACTTGACAGTGTAACACTTTGAAATAGATGTTGCAGTTTTTTGTTGTTGGTGGAAAAAGCTACATAAAAAATTACCATTTTATCTGTTTATAAGTGTACAATTAAGTGGCATTAAATACATTCATGCTGTTATGCAACCGTCACCGCCATCCATCTCCAGAATGTTTCCATGTTCCCAGGCTGCAACTCCTTCCCCATGAACCAGTGACCAACTCCAAGCACCTCATATAAATAGAAGCATGTAATACCTGTTTCTTAGGGAATGGTTTCCTCTTAGCACAGTGTTTTCAATGTCAAATCTTCTTTATTAAGGCTGAATAACCATTCTGGATGAATACACCACATTTTATCTATCTGTTCATCTGTTGGCGAATGCTTAGGTTGCTTTACCTTTTGGCTCTTGTGAACGATGTTGCTATGAACATGTGTATACAGATATCCAGAGGACTCCCTGCTTTCACTTATTTTGAAATTCCAAAAGTGAAATTGTTGGATAGTATTAGGTAAGCCTATGTTTCATTTTTGGAGAAACCACCGTACGGTTTTCTACAGTGCCTGCACCATTTTACCTCCCACCAGCTGTGCACAAAGTTTCCATTATTCCATGTGATCACCAAAACTTGTTATTTTCTGTTTTTTGTTTGTTTGTTTGTTTGTTTTTGGTAATAGCCATCCTAGTGGGTATGAAGTGGTATCTCATTGTGGTTTTGATTTACATTTCCCTGTCAATTATCAGTTACCAGTATTGAGCATCTTTTCATACACTAGTCGGTCATTTCTTTAGTGAAATGTCTATTCGGTCTTCTGTTTCTTAATCAGGTTGTTTTTGTTGTTGTTGAATTATAGGAGCTCTTTCTATATTCTTGATAGTAATCCTTTCTCCCATTCTATGGGTTACCTTTTTACTCTTTTTTTTTTTTTTAAGATTTTATTTATTTATTTGACAGAGATTACAAGTAGGCAGAGAGGCAGGCAGAGAGAGAGAGGAGGAACCAGGCTCCCCACTGAGCAGAGAGCCTGAAGTGGGGCTGGATCCCAGGACCCTGGGATCATGACCTGAGCCGAAGGCAGAGGCTTTAACCCACTGAGCCACCCAGCTGCCCCGTACCTTTTTACTCTTGATTATGTCCTTGATACACAAATATTTTTAATTTTGTTAAATCCAGTTTATCTATTTTTTTCTTTTGTTGCCCTGCTTTTAGTGTCTTATCCAAGAAATCATTGCCAAATCAAATGTAGTAGAGCTTTTCTCCTATGTATCCTTCTAAAAGTTTCATAGTTTTAGTTCTTTAGGAAAGCCTTTGATCCATTTGCGTCATCTTGTATGTGGTACATGCTAAGAGTCTAACCATTCTTTTTCACATGAGGGTATCCAGTTAGCCAACACCAATTGTTGAAGAGAATCCTTTCCTTTTGAGTGGTCATGGCACCATTGTCAAATATTTTACCATACATGTGAGGGTTTTGTTGTTGTTGTTGTTTGTTTGTTTTTGTAACAGTGCTAAATTTGTTTACTAGTTCTAGCAGATATTTTGTGTGTGGAATCTTTAGGGTTTTCTTTATATAAGGATATGTCATTTGTGAACGAAGATAGTTTTACTTCTTCCTCTTTTATTTGGATGCCTTTTAATTCTTTTTCTTGTCTAATTGCTCTGGCTAGGACTTACATTATTATGTTCAGTAAGAGTGGAACGAGTGGGGATCCTTGCCTTATTCCTGATCTTAGAGGGAAAGCTTTCAGGTTTTTACCTTTGAATGTGATGGTTGCATGTGTTTTTCATATATGGCCTTTCTTATGTTAGAAGGTTCTCTTCCTAGTTTGTTTAGTGCTTTTATTATGAAGGATTGTTTTATTCCGGCAAAGGTTTTTTTTTTTTTTTTTGCATCAATTGAGATAATCATGGGTTTTTTGCTTTCATTCTGTTAATGTGATGTATGTCATTGTTTGATTTTCATATGCTAAACCATTTTGGCATTGCAGGACTAAGCCTGCTTGGTTTTGTGAATAGTTCTCTTAATATACTCTGGAATTTTGGTTTGATGGTATTTTGTTGAAGATTCTTATATCAGTGTTCATGAGAAGTAATTGGTCTGTAGTTTTGTTGCTGTTTCTTCATTATCTAGCTTTGATAGCAGGGTAATGCTAGCTGTATAGAATGAGTTAGTCAGTTCAGACTGCTATAACAAAAATACCATAAACTGGTATCTTGTAAACAACAGAAATTTATTTCATAAAGTAACTGAGGCTGGAAAATCCAAGATCAAGGTGCCAGAAGATTCAGTGCCTGGCAAGAGCCCTCTTTCTGGTTTATAACCAGCACCTTCTCAGTATGTCCTCACGTAATGGAAGGATGAGGGAGCTCTGTGGTCCACCTTTATAAAGGAACTAATCCCATTCACAGGGTCTCCACCATCATGATCTAATTACCTTTCAAGGACCGCAGCTTTTGATACCATCACCTTGGATGTTAGGATTTCTGCATGTGAATTTTGGGGGGGATACAAACAATCTATAGCAGTGTCTCCTCTTCAATTTTTTGGAAGAAGTTGAAAAAGATTGGCTTAATCCTATTTTAAATGTTTGGTAGAATTCATTGAAGACACCATTTGGTCCTGGGTTGTTCTTTGTTGGGAGGCTTTGATTACTGATTGAATCAAACTTATTTATAGATTTATTTCTTCATGATTCAGTCTTGGTTGTGTGTGTGTTAATGTTTAAGTAGGGAATTAGGACCTGGAACTTCTTATTCTACCATCTTGCTGGCATCACTCTCTGTTGAATTATTTTTACATTGTGTTACTGTCCTATAAATCGTTAGTGGTATTACAAAATGGTTCATGTAATAAGAGCTTTTCTTTTCTTGTTTTCCAGCAAGTGTTCTCTCTCACTTTTGCATTGATACATGTATATGATTGCATCACTAAAATCAGTGCTTAGTGGATATCACTGATCTTGCCATGCATGATTAAAGCACATGAAAGCACATGTCTTAGTCCAGAGAGTGATGACCCTGCTTTTGAGAAGCATGGATTCATGTTCCAAACCTGGTAATAAACAACACTTGTATTTTTGTGACTCAGTTGTCTTATCTGTAAAATGAGAATGTTAAAATAAATGCTGTTTAAATGCTATTTTATATCTACTTCTCTGTTTCTGTAATGTAGGTAGTAATTTAAATTTTGAAACAATGTAAGTGAGTGCAAGAATATTTTTATATGTACCTATTCAGGAGTATACCTACCTGAAACACTTTGGATTAGGTCAATAGGTAGCCTTTACAAAAATAGTGAAGAGGGCACTGGGATAAATTATTGGGACCTAAAAAAAACAGATCAGACTCTAAAATCAACATGTGCCTGCCCCAGCCTTTCAGAGAATGTTGTAGGTTGTCTGTGAACCTTACCCTGGGGGTAAAATAGAACACATTGCTGGATATTTTCCGGGAGGAAAGATCTTTGCGAGAATAACGGTGTGTGATACACCCCCAATACCCTTTGATTTTGTCCTAGGAGAATATGGTTCAAGTTTTTTAATAAAAGGGGTTATAAGAATATGACAGAAAAAGCCTACCCTTGCTGAAATATAAAAAAAATATGGAAGAAAAAGAAAATAGTAACGGCTTCAGTTTCAATAGAAAAAGAAACTGGGGGACCCCTGGGTGGTTCAGTTGGTTAAGTGTCTGCCTTCTGCTGAGGTCGTGATCTCAAGGTTCTGTCCTGCATCGGGCTCTTTGCTTAGCGTAGGGTCTGCTTCTCCCTCTCTCTCTGTCCCTTCTCCTGCTCATGCTCTCTTGTTCTCTCTAGCTTGCTCTCTCTTAAATAAATAATGAAAATCTTTTAAAAAAGGAAGAGGAAACTTTGGTTCATGCAGATGGAAGAAACCATATGGTATTTGGATGCAAGATCCACCCAGAAAACTTGCACAAACTGGCCATTCAAATATGAGAGAAAATAAGATTGCTTTAATATTGCTTATTGCCTAAAAAATTATTATTGGCTATTTTAGGACTTGAGGCCTGTTTAACATTACCATGAAGAAGATTTGTGTACACAGAAGGAGATTTTTTTCTTTATTTTCAGAAATCATAGCATAGAAAATACAACAAAATATACTTGAGGAGGCTTCTAAAAGCAAACAAAATTCTATAAACACTTATTTACTTTAGATGGTAAAATGTAATGTTTGTGAATAATAGCTACAAATATTTCTTTTGGGTAGTATGCTTTTCTGTTTGCTTGTAAATTATACATAACTGAATATGGTTACGCTTTACAAATGTCTAATGTGCATTGCTATTTATATGATGTTCTTTATGCTGTTAATAAAATGTGCAGTGTCACTATCTTCCATTATTTTCAGTTCACATTTTCACACTTACGATACTGTTAACTTATGTTATTTTTTTCTGCTCATGACTGTCAATAATGATAGAGAAAAGAGACCTGAAGAGTAATGAAAATGATGAAGAGTCCATCAAAGTGTGAATAAAATGGTTCAGAAGTAGGTGAAAATTCATGAATTTTGCAAATGTTTTCATAAAAATGAAGTTCACTAATGTGAATTAAAAACTAGTAAATTTGGTCAAGATACTTGGTCCTAACATCTATATAAGTGGGATTCAGGCAAAATACAAAAGAGCCAAGTACGGAGGAATGTGGTGGTGGTGGTGTTCTGGCTCTCTCCTTCAGTCAGGCATGACTCCCTCAAGCCCTTGTGAGATGTCACTGATGAAGACACTTCAAGGAGAGGATTCTGGGAAGAAGGCAGAAGAGGAAGTGCCAGGACACAGTCTCCCGACCCAGGCAACCAGTCACGCTGCTAGAATCTGTCTAATGTAACTCTTTTGGAACTTTGGAGACCTTATAGCTTTCGGGCAGGCTTTGATGGTAACTTGTGATTAATTGCAGTCAGTTTCATCTCTGAGCCCCAACCCCAGGGCAGACAGCCATGCACACACTCCTGGAGCCCATTGCATACAGCTTGTAGGCCCAGGTGAGCAATAAGGACCCATCCTCCCAATACCGGTCATCTGTGTTCTGATCACTGATTGCTGACTTAAGCTGTATCCTGGGATGTCTGAAATATGACTGACTCTCCCTGTTGGAGGCTAATTCACAAGTGACGAAGTTTGGGGCCCTGGGCAACATGGTTGAAGGCAATACTGTGCATTGGCCTCATAATGCTACTTGAAGTTCTGTTCAGAGTAGCCTTAATTATATTCTGTACATGACAAATTAAACAGCTTCAGTTTCTGTTGGTCAGATTTATCAGAATGGCGGATGGAGTGATGAACTCATGTGGATATTCAAGTTCAACCAAGAAAATGTAGGGTCAGATATTGGGGAAGGCAACTGCCGTAGGCCCTGAGCATTCCTGCACATTATTGCTGGTCGTGCCAAGAATACAAAGACCCAACCGCTCTTTGTTGGGGCTATGTCTCAATGTTATATGCACAGCAGGCAACCCTGAGAAATGAATTAGTAGCCCCCCTCCAGGAGAGAGGGCAGGCTTGCTTACTGCCTTCTAGAAAAGAGGTGGATTCCCCATGGTTGGTGCTCCTCAGATGTGGCACAAGCCCACTGCATTTGTAGCATAGAGACGATGCCTCCCTACTGGCCCCTTGGGACTCAGCAGGGCCTGGGAAATGAACAGAAGCACGATGCTTTTGCTATGCAGTGTGCGATGAACACTAAAGTTCTTCGTCTCTGGGAAAAAAAAAAATCCAATAGAAGCCTGAAAAGAAAAATAAATATGTACTAAAGGAGTGTATAAAATAAGGTAGAAATAGTCTGGATAATTGCTGATAAAAGCTTATATAGATTAAATTTACTTGATAAAATGCAGAGGTTCTGAGAAGGAATTTTAAAATGATCTATGACATATACAAGAGACCCTTAGATTACATAAAAAGACAAATGATGAAAGTCATGGAGTGGTCCAACATCAGATCAAAAATAATTAGAAAGTCTTCTGCTAATAAGTATTTAATATATACCAAATATCTTATTATATTATTTAATATTTGTATGCTACCATAAAGCTTGAAACGATTGCTCTTGTTAGAATGCCGCCAGAGGATAGCTATGTTGAACTTATTTAAGGTTTATAACAAACTTGAAAAACAGATATATATATATTTTTTAAAGATTTATTTATTTGACAGAGAGAGAGAGATCACAAGTAGGCAGAGAGGCAGGCAGAGAGAGGGGAGAAAGCAGGCTCCCTGCGGAGCAGAGAGCCCAACGCGGGGCTCGATCCCAGGACCCTGGGATCATGACCTGAGCCGAAGGCAGAGGCTTTAACCCACTGAGCCACCCAGGTGCCCCGAAAAACAGATATTTTTAAGAAGCAGGGAATGAAGTTATGAATCTTTAAGTAATTTCTCAAGAACTTATATAGAACATATGACCTAACTAGGACTCAGTCCAGGTGTTTGCTTCCTCTTTCTCTCTCCCCTTTTCCTCCTCCCTCCCCGCCCTCCTTTACTTCCATTCTTCCTATCTTATTCCTAACTCCAAAGCTGTTAAATTTTCTGTCACTAAGTCTCTTATTCATGCACTAGTTATGAGGACCTTATAAATAGACCATTTGGAACTGTTGATGATATGGCAAATGGGAAAGGCTGTGTTACACTGTTAGCTCTGGAGACATGACCAAATTATTCCAACCTATTTTGCATTCTACGTGTCACTTTTTTTTTTAAATAATGAAGTTATCTAATGTAATAAGTGCAAATCATTTTGCTGTGGTCTTGGAAAGTATGTGTGTGTGTGGGGGGGGGGGGGTTGCAGGCAGGTGTCCAGGGAGGCTAAAAGGCATAAGGAGTGTGCTGGTATCTTTCCTTGTGGAGGAGAGATTTCTTTGTTTTTTGGGTCTCCTAAGATTTGAGGTGAACCCTTTCCCTTTCCCACCCTTAGATCAGTGATTCTACTGACAGCCTGGTTTCCACTATGTAATCCCCTTTGCATATCTTAGGTGGGAAATAAGACAAAGTTACTTATCGTACTTGCAAGATATTGAATACATTGTATTCATTCAGTAAGTCATCATGAATGAATGGAAGTACTGGGAGTTACTTCTAGAAATGTGGCAAAAGTACAATAACATCTTTCCTCTCTGCATTGCTCATTTGCTATGTTGACGTTCCAGAATTGTTCCTCTCCGTGGTCCTGCTTCAGCACTTTCCAGGCTCAAATTTGGTTGCACTTTTTATCAGTTTATACCCCATTCCACTCAGGCTACCACTCACACTGTAAAAACCATTGCCCATAGCACAACTTTTATTACTATGGCAGGAAAATAGAGATTGATATGTCTTCAAACTCTGTAAATTATAGAACATGCGGTTAGATGATTTAGTCATACAATATGACTTTTTAACTCTTAAAATACTAATATGAAAAAATATATATAAAAAAGGATAGTGAAGCCAGTCGTCATTAGCATTGTCTGAAGACCAGCAGCATCCCCAAGGTGGTTCTTACAAAGAATGTTCTGGGTCCCAACCCCAGATTTACTGAATCGATTTTTTTTTTAAGATTTTATTTATTTATTTATTTGTCAGAGAGAGAAAGAGCTAGTAAGTGCACAAGTAGGCAGATTTTCAGGCAGAGGCACAGAGAGAAGCAGGCTCCCTGCCAAGCAAGGAGCCCGATGCAAGACTCCATCCCAGGACCCTGGGATCATGACCTAAGCCGAAGGCAGTGGCTCAACCGACTGAGCCACCCAGGCATCCCCTGAATCAAATATTTTGAGTGAAGGCCCTGAATCTGTATTTTAATAAATACTGCAGGTAATGTTCACACAAAATAAATGTGTGAACCAGTAGTTCAGTTTTTGTTTCTGGGTTGTTTTTTTTGTTTGTTTGTTTGTTTTGTTTCGTTTTGTTTCCCTGTAGCAAGATAAGAGGTAAGACTTTTCCGGACTCTTTAAAAAGAGTAAAGAAACGATTCCCAAGTAGTTTAGTATTGAGTTCCTGGTATGGATGAGGAATTAATGTCGTAATAGAGCAGAGTGACAGGAGTTGTGAGGGCTCAGTAATCTGTGTGTCACTCAGACGTGACGTTCTACAAGTGTCGCTGTCATCATCATGGTATTAGTTCTAACATGCTCCCTTGTACAGCTTAGTGTCTTTATAATCAGTATGAGTCTTACAACCAGTGCAATTAGAAATGTTACATCTTGACTGATTAATAGCTGTCCTCTTTCTTGATTACCTTAGAGTAAAAAAAGAATTCTACATTTTTGCATGTGTGTGCCATGTCATTCACTCCTTTGTTTTTACATTCCTGTCTGTTGTCCATGAAACACAGCAAAACCAAGTTGTCCAGGTCTTTGCTCTGTCATTAACTTCCTGTCCTACCTTACCCAGGTCCCTGAAGTTCTGTGAGCGTCAGACCCTTCATTCGTAAGCCAGGTTTATGAATAAACTGCATAAACTGCACTCTTCCTCATCTGTATGCTGGGGAAATCAGTTGTCTTTCCAACCCTATAATTCTATGGATTTGATGAAATATTATTTGAAATTAGACCAATTCATGGTGATGGATGCAGATATTTAGGGTTGCGGGACTTAGTGGGACA